CCACACTACACCTGAGGGGAAGCAGTCTTATCAGACACTTCACCTGAAATACCTTCTAATTTATTACCAGGCCAGGACACGAGATTTTATATATATATACTGGTATATTTCAATATAATAATGTTTATATTTTGTGTCTATCATAGACCTTTAATGCCATGGAACCTTGATAATCAAAAATAAATTTCTGTAAGGTGGTGTGACATGTTTCATTACACTAAACACAACCAGCAACATTTTTCTGGCCTTCAATATCATCTAGTACATGTATGTTAATAGTAACAAGTAGTAAAACTATTAAAATTGATGTTGTAAGAAAGAGAGGGAGAGGGAGAGGGGGCGGGGGGGGGGGGGACATTCATATAATATAAAAATTCTACCCATAGTATGATACACAATCTCTGTGTTAGATGGCCATCATCTAGTGCCAGCACACTGAGAAAACTGATGAGTAACATTCCTATGAGATCAACTCCTATGATATGATACGGTCTACAACACACCTCCAAGCCATTGGAAGAATGTTGAATTCTGAGAATGAACGAGGCTATAGGCCCCAAGTCTACCATGTGCATAGCACATCCCATTCAATGACTACAGTAGTAGTGGTATATATCTAAAGATGTCATGTGACCATAGCACTATGTGCTTTATTCGCTACTAGTAGGTGTTTACTAAGAGTCCCTGCATAATAATATGCTTTCTGTATTTAATGTACATTTATATACGTAGAGATGACTAGAAACTAGACCGAATGCTATTACTGACTGGCTACATTAATTCTAACACTCTCAGTATAACAGTATATGATTAGAATTATTTTATCTAAAACACTACACAATGATCTCTCCAAAGCTTTGTACTATCATTTTCACCACTATAAATTACTTAATTTATATTCAAATTGCACAATAATTTATCATTCACCTATTAAAGGCCTATTAACAGAAGACTGACTGTTAAAGACAACGGGGAGTTTGGGAGCTGTCAAGATGTAGAAATGCATACTAACAGCTGGTTATAATGCAGGGCTAAGTTTTTTTTTTTGGTGAATCAGCCACTCTACAGCCCTCAGCAAGACCTACTGCTTCCTCTGCTTTAATTCATCTCCAACCTTCAAAGCCACAGACATGTGTATTAGTCACAACGCCAAGTTTTTTTCTACTTTACCTGGCACTAAAAACTATACCATATATTATCAGTAAGCTAAATACTTAGTCTTTATATTGCAGAGGGGGAGCATATGCTTTAGTACAATTTTCCTTAAGACAAAAATGAAACTATTAGTATTTGGGAATACAAGTCACTGCATCAAATATCCTCATTTGCCTAAATATTATTTGGCTGAAAAATTCATGCCAACTGGGCAATTAGGTCAGACCAGGCACATGCTTTATGCATACTCTGCATGTGTCTAGTACAGACTATGCATATATATCTTTTGCAGACTATGCATGTGTATAGCCTAATGCCCATCTCAGTCTACTAGTATGCACATCTCTAAGGGTGTATTCCCAGAGATTTAGATCGATCCAGGGATTAAGATTTAGATCGACCTAACTTCCTGGGGATTCACGCTAAAAAAATTGCAGTCAGCCGAACGCGCACCATAGTTAATTACCCCCTTACAGCTTTCGGTAGGTGTGACAGATGCTTAAGCCGGCTAAGCTGACAGTAATCTAGTGAGACTCCCCACAGGGATAGATCGATCTAAAATCTATGGAAATGGGGTCTAACTCTACAACAGACCATACTGGCATCAACTGTACAAAAAGCAGATTAACACACCTTCTGTTGCCAGTGTACTTGTATAATCACATCTTCTCTGCATTCTACTCAATGCAAAAAGAAGGCATGTTTTAACAGTTTAAAAACTGTCAATTTGATTTCATTCAGTAAGATTCCCTGCATAGCTGAATCTATCTAGGTAGAACTATAGTTACATTGGGAATGAGCCTCTAGACTGTAGTGTGAAGCTAAATATAACAAGTAGTCCAGGAAATTGGTGAAAAATTGTGCATTTTTTACCTACAAGCATGAAATTTGGCACACTTATGGACAATAAAATTCTAAGCAAATTTGGATATATGGGCATGTCTGAAAATTCCAAAATGGCCGTCAAATCCAATATGGCCACCAAAATACCTTTTCAAATTAAAACTTCAAGTACATAGTCTTCTAATGACTAAAAATATCATATAAAGGTTAGAAAACACCATGGTATGAATCCTTCAGGTGTATTAAATCCAAAATGGCCGCCAAAAGTAAAAAAAAAGCACACCATTTATTCAAGATATCCATTTGAATGGGGAATTCATCAAGCACTTAAAACTTCAAGCATAAAATTTGGCAGGCTTGTGGAAAATGAAATTCCGAGCAAGTTTGGATGTATGGGCATATCCGAAAATTTAAAAATGGCCTTCAAATCCAAGATGGCCTCCAAAAATATGGCTTCTAATTAAAACTTCAAGTATATAGTCTTTTAAGGGCGTAAATATCATATAAAGGTTAAAAAACACCACGGTATGAATTCAGAATCAATATTTGCTTTTTTAGGTGTATTAAATCCAAAATGGCCGCCAATAGTAAAAAGCACTCTACTAATGCAAGATATCCAGCAGAGTGGTTAATTCATCAAAAACTACAAGCATGGCATTTGGTACAGTTGTAAATCAGGATTCCAAGCACTTTTGGATGTATGAGCATGTCTAAAAATTTCAATATATGGCCCCCAAATCCAATATAGCCGACACAAATACCCGTTCAAATAAAAACTTCAAGTATATTATACTCCTATAATAACTTAAGATAACATTTTATGGTTAGACAAGACTATGGTATGCATGAAGTATCAATATTTGATTCTTTAAGTGTATAGAAATCCAAAATGGCCTCCAAAAATAAGAAAAACAGGCCACTCACAGCAGCAGTATGGTGAATTCATCATGCACTTAAAACTACAAGCATGAAAATTGGCTCAATTGTACAGAACAGGATTCTAAGCAATTTGTTATATAGGGACATGTCTGAATATTCTAATATGGCCACTTAAACCCTTTTAAAGTAAAAAAAGACTACTATATAATCTGACTGACAACAGTCTTTACTCTCT